GGGTTGATGTGTGGCGTCATACTGAGAAATACAAAAGAAAACCAAAGAGAAAGACCCTAATCTATTTTTCTACATCTTTAAGCTGATGCAATGCACAACATATGCAAGTAGCAATATATCCTATATGTCTCTTTCTAATCATAACAAATAGGAAACACATGTGTATTATACAATTATAATATATTATTATAGGCTTTGTTTTATGTCAGAATATTGTTTAGCAATCTGGATATAATGTCTTTGCTAATTACATAATTATATCAGTTTTAAGATGATGCTTAGTTTCATGGTAGGCTATACTGTAACATTTAGGAAAATTGTGCGGTTTTCATTTTTTTCTTAAAAGAGATTTTGGGGTGCTAATTTCACTGTCACAAATTAAAAGTGAAGAGAATAAGCTACAAACATTGGTATTGTTGGTGAAAATCTTAAGAGATAGTTAGTATAATAAGTGTAATTTATTTTCTGTAATATTTTCTGTACATACTATTTCAAAAAACATTGAATTGAATTACCATTTCATTTATCTCCACCTTCAAAAAACATTACATGTTATCAATATGCTGTCTTTGGGGAGTTTCTGAGGTTTTATCTTTATTACCCTTTTTAATATTATTACATGTTTTATTAGAGTAGTATATTTGAATGTATTGGTGCTTTTCTTCTTGGCAAGTCTCCGGTGAAAAGCTGATTCCTACATTTCAAACGAACACCTGCTTGATTAAGAAAGATTAATACATTTATTTGAAAACAACTTTCAACATTTTGTGTAAATAAGCTTTCAGTATAAGAAATACAAACAGTGGTTTTCAACGCTAACATCCCTTATTCTACACACAGTATGAGCTAACAAAGCATGCTACATACCCGCCCTCCCCTCCTATGTAATTACATACAGTTACATCACTGTTATCTGCATGTTTACTTTAACTACCCTCCACAGAAAGCTTCTTACTCTAACTCCAACATGCCCATGCAGGGGAGGAGCAGAGAGGGACCCATGCAACAGGGAAAGGGGAGAGGCTAAGAAAAGGGCCAGAAAAGATATCGACACATACACCTACCCTGTAGTAGTCCGTACTGTAGACATCTCTGGACATGCCAAAGTCTCCAATCTTTACCAGCAGGTTCTCTCCCACCAAACAATTCCTGATGGATAACAAACACATAATAAAAAGTTTAAATAATGATCTTTTATATTACTTAGGTCACACTGCAGGGTTTTAAACCTCTACGATATATAAGTAGATCCGACAAAAGTTAAATAGTAATTATCAAAGTCAATAATGTTCAATAGTAACAGTATATCTTTGATTGGAAGAGTTTTACATGTGTTTGCAATGGTATGGTTTAATTACATAAGCCTCATTCAATCATTCTCTGAAAGTGGAAATACAAAGATGCAAGGATGATTGCATATTTAATATCCTTTACTATCGATCAATCCTGCCTAGCTGTTTGGCCTTACTGGATTATGCATTTATATTAATGTATATGACATTTATGTCCAAAAGACTACATCTGTCAAAGTATTTCTATATCATTACATTTGCAAACATTTTCAACATGTGTTTTTTAACTTTCTCAACATTGAGTATTCCTTTAAATGTAATGTTAGGTGTCTAAATACATTGCCATGTACAGTATACAGGCCCATTCATTAAGTCCATTTGAATAATCACAGTATGTATAGAAAGTGAAGAAACAGTGTGATAAACCTGGTGGCCAAGTCACGGTGCACAAAGTGTTGTGATGCCAGGTAGACCATGCCGGATGCGATCTGCTGTGCGATGTGTAACATCTGGGACTGCGTCAGCTCCACAGGTCTGGTGTTCTGGCCCTCGGACATCAGAACTGCATCCGGACCGTGAGCCCTGCAAAAGTGACATTTGTTTAAGTTAGCTTTGTTATTGTGTGTTGGAGTCATTTTGGTTTTCTGCACAGTTTTGTACATAAAATACTACATCAACCCTTCTATGAGAGTGTTCAGAAAATGAAGCAGATTTTCTTTAAACTAGTAAAAGAAACGTCTACTTTACAATCTTTGTCTATTGATGCCTCTGTTTTCATGACAGCAGTTCAGTCGGGAACATTATTGTCATAGATTTAACTATGTACTCCAAGAAATGCAATTATATTTCGCAGATGGCTCCACTCTTGAGATATGTCCCTGGATTAGTTTGCAGCACACTAAGCCAAAAAAGGCAGTGCAAGGCAGAGAACCCCCCTTTAGTATACAAGAGTGGTTCTACAGCAAGACACTGAATACAATTACTAGAGTCCAGAGAAGAGAGAAATACTGCACCCTATGAACTTCTAGGTACCAAAACAGTGTGTTACTTAATTAGTAAGTGACAGTGTGCAGGACTTCTCTATTTTGACTTTGGTCAATACTCATTTGCACCTGCCTACAAGACAGCGTAAAGATTGAGTGCACATCCACCTTTACCATTAAGTTTTAGTCTCTAAACTAAATAGGCGGTGGAGTCAAAGCTTGCAGTGACGAGATTGGTGTGACACTGATAATAAACAATGATCAGCTTCTAGTACAGCCGACTATGACCTCCTGACCTACATGAACTAATGCTAATTGCTGATATCTAGATGACTGTTTGATGTAATGAAGAAAAGTGCCATACCTGAGGAACTTGTTGAGGTCACCATGTTTCATGTACTCAAACACCATGATGAGGGGGTCGCTCTCCACGCAGACTCCGTAGAAAGTGACAATGTGTTCATGCTGAAGGTTTGTCAGTAACTCAGCCTCACGGTGGAAATCCTTCCTGGCATTTTCACTGGCCTCTTTAAGTGTCTGCGGACACACAGAAGTGACATTTAATACATGGACGAATGTAAAACTCACACGTTATGCCACGTAAACCATTGCCAATTAGTCATTTTCACAGTGCACCCAACCTGCTCAAATGTATGTAGCTGATCTCCATTAGAAAATAAAGAAATGACTCTCTTGCCTTGTAAAAGTGAGTTACAGCAAATCAGGGACACACTGTGAAATTACTGGCACCAAGCCAAGGACTGATACAAAGGCAGCGCACAAACAAAATGTATATGTGTGCAAGCCATTACTTAGCACAACACTGTTTACATTAATTTTATTCCCTGGTTCCCTTTAAAACTAATCTCTTTTTCCTTTCCATGAATCAGGAAATCTGTCAGGGAGCAAGCATCTGTGACAGAGACAGAAAACGAGTGTGTGTGAAAGAGAGAGTTGCAGGAAATGAAAATGATACGGGATCTGTATTCATTTCATATCAAAAGAAGAAAAATATAGAAAATGTCTCTTGTCCTACATGAATAATTGATTGTCTTCCTACAGTATATGACATGGATATACGTTCACCTTCCACCTTCTTTGTGTGCATTTCTGTGTGTGTTTATCTGTGTACATGTGTGTGTTTGTCTGCGTACTAACATCGCAGAGTAGCTTCGATTACAAATATATGTTTAAAGGACGAAGAGTAGTCACTAAGAAAGATCTAGAAGAAGGAAACGACCCGCGACCTTTGAGCAGAAATGCTGAGATACCAGAAAATGAGATGAACTGAAACTCCACCCCCTCGTATTAAACTGATCGTGTATCATGGTGAAACAAAGGCTTGGTCCTGTACATTACAGGCTGTAATGTAATATTACATGATGATTATATGGAGGATTAGTACAGTATGGATACTGTATGGAAGCATATGCCCCAATCTCAGTTTGAAAGGTGATATTAGACATGTTTGGGAAGCTGGTTGTTTTCTCCCATTACTTCTCACGTGAACGCCTGTCTAAGTTAGACCTTTCTGCTTATGTGACTATTAATTGTTTGCTTTCTTAAAAAGCAAATAGTTGATTAAAAATGTTTGTTTATCAGGTTTTAAGATAATCCTTTGATTAGCATTTTATATGTATTATTTAAAGAGATATATACTGTATGTAAACAAGCAATTAAGAAAGCTCTTTGTACAGAAGATGTCAACTTATCAATTGGAATCTTCTTGATCAATTCAAGGAATTGAAAAAGCTTAAAAGACAAAGCCAGGGTATTTTAACTAATGCCTTTACAAATGTTAACCCCCTAAAAGAAGTAAATTACTTCAGTTGATCTAAAATGCTGTACATGATCCATATCTGACATATAGTCTAAGCAACTCATACTGCACATGCATAATATATTTTTGTTTGCTGGCACAAAGAAATGTTGGAAAAAAGGAAAAATGTCTTTTCTGGCAATCACAGGTTATCAATCAGCTAACTTAACTGTTAAGTGTATCAAATGACCACCATAACAACAATTTATCAAACAACATTCAAGTTTATTTCAGAGACTTTCTTTGAGCCAGAAAACATCTAACTGTGAACTATCACGCTCTGAGTCTCTGAGCTCCATGCTGCGTATATTCCTAGGCTTAAAGCCATAATACTGCACTGTTAGTCATCCAGTGTGCGCACACTCAGGTCCCCGGATAAATAAGAAGCAATCAACAACCACGAGCCCGGGAATGTAGTGACTCACATTTACATGTGAAGGCAACATTATTGACAGTGTTAGGTACTTATGATTGATGGCATGCAAGCGTGTATAGGTGCGTGAATATATCTATATGCATCTGCACGTGTTAGTGTGCCTGTGATCGATGGCACATCAGCGAATGAAATATAGTTACAGTGAAACTGGCTTCTGTATTATAGCTGACTGGCTGATTGATAGCCGACTCTAAAACCAGGACCATTAGGGTCTATTTGTGATTGCAGGTTATTTAATGTGGTGTACATGTTTCTGTGATGTAGCATGCATGAAAGAGTGCATCATAAGTACCGTATGTACATGTTAACAATGTTGTTATGAGAGGAGTGGGAATATTCACAGGGAACATACACCTCTAAACTAAAAATGGCTGTTCTTGCTATAATGTTGAATAGCCAGACATGCTATCTCTATGCTGAACGGTGCAGAAACAGACAGTTAGGATGAACAAATTCACTGACAAACCTTTATGTACATCATGTAACAACAACTGCACTAACTATTACAATGAAATGGAATCTAAATGATATTAATTTAATTAATCGATTGAAGAATATGTTGCCAAAATGAAGGTATCAGTTTGTAGCGAGACACCACGATGATTGGTTTTAGCTGTCCAAGGTTTGAGAAAATCTGCCTCTGAGATTTTTTGTTTCCAATCCTCTACAATGGAGATGAGAGTCATTTTGTGAGAGTCATTTTGCTTTTGTTGCTTGCGGCGCTTAAAAAATAACTCACTTTTATCAGCTGTCAATTTAATTGCCTTACTTTCCAAAGAAATATCCCCTTTTAGGTTATTTAGTGATTTAGAGGAACTTGCATTGGCAAGAAGTAGTCAATGCTAATGCCATAATTTATTCAAAAATCTGTTTCCACCAGCTTTCATCACATCTCTTCTTTGTTGATGCAGCAACAATGAGGAAGAGGAGGAGAAAGAAAAAACAAACGGAAAAATGGTGAGTCATACCAGTTGACAAAAAGACGAGGACAAGAAGAGCAGGAAGAGTGTGCTATTAGCAGGTGGTACATTAGGTAATTGAAAAGCTAAATCCGATGAATTGAGGGAGTTGAATCAATAAAGTGACTCTAATGACTAAATGATTAATTTGCATGCAATTAAACCTATGGCAGTTTGAGAAATGTGCTTTATCTTTAATGTACGTTGAATGCTGATTATGTAATGTGTTACCAGATTTGACTTGCACTACAGCAACACATAGCATCTTGTTCAACAACAGGAGCCATGCTTCCTGGGACTTTCAGGTGCATATTTTACAGGGTGCTCAGACTGAGCTAAGCTAAGCTGGCAGCAAACATCAGCGGGCCAGCAGGCGGTTTACAGAAAAGAAGCTTGAGGATTCGAGAAGAGGATAAAGGACTGCAGAGGAGAGAGAAAAGTACTACAGGTGGGAGTTAGAGGTGAGGAATGTAAGACAGAGGAAGTGGGGACAGAGGGAGATGGAAGAGGGTCTCGCACAAGTCATGCATTGTTAATGAGAGGATCTGCACCAATCAGATCCTGTTTCACCGCAGAGCATCCTTGATGGAGAGATGCGTGGAGGGATAGATGTGATGGCAGGATGCACTTTGGGAAACTATTCTATTTGATCCCGGAAGTCCACGGTTTGAGTGTAACTCCACCTTTTGCTTAAAAAAACCTTCTGAAAGGAATGACTTGCTAACAATAACGGAGAAAATGAAGGAGTCTTAAGAATGCATTTCAGTTACATAAGATATGTAGTTTTAAATATATATCAGATCACCTTACAAAATACAACCGAAAAAAAAAAAAATCAGCTATAATAATCACATTATGGATTTAATCCATCATCATCAAAAAATCTCGTACTGAAATTAGACTTCATAAAATACCTTCTTTGTGATGTGGAGTGGATTGTGTTTCATTTCAATCGGTACTTAAATGTGTAATAACTACGTCTGTGTCTGTGTCTGTGTTTTGCTCACTTAAGTGATGGAGGTGTGTGGTTACACTGCATGTACTGTGTTATATTTTAAAGGCAATAGAACAATAGAAATAAGTATATTAAAACAAATGTGGTGGGACTCTTGTTATTGACCTGGAAAACCTAGAATACATTCACGAAAACCCCCAGTAAATCTTATCCCAGCTACTCAATGTCTGTGTCATGCCTGGGTTCAAATCCTTGCTGGTCAATGAAACATTTAGACTTCAATTTACATTATCACTGGGACTATACATATATTCATTTTTAGTTTATTTTTTTGCCCTTAATAATGACTCAGCCTTAGTTATCTATCAGAAGAGTTTCCAGAGTCGTAGAAAGTTACACAGATTGTTTTCCTCTGCTTTTGTGTATTTTTCAGGAATACAAATGTAAAAATAGGACCAGCAGATTACCTTGACAGCCACCAGTATCTTCTCTTGGTCAGGTGAGAGGTTGTAACACTCAGCCAGGAAGACTTTTCCAAAGGCTCCTTCTCCCAGCTCTCTTTTGAGCACGATGTTGTGTCTCTTAATGTGCTGGACGACTGTGGAAAGAGACAAAACACAGAAAAAAAATAATTACTTAAAAGTTGGCCAACTTGGTTTTGAAACACTTTGTAAGGCAGTTTAAATAAAGACCTAAAATCCTCTATTCTGCCACTGTTCATCCTATAGCGTCAGTTACGGTATTAAACTGTCATCATTATTTGTAATGATTATCCCGTCAATTAATAAGTGTGCAAGCAAAAACATATATTTCATATAGATTTATACTCTTTTTCAATAAAAAAACATAGCTGCAGGGGGTTATATCTCTACTGGCTATAGGTGGGAAATATGGTAAATAAATGGGGATTTTATACCATTTAGAAAAATAATTCAGTTTCGTCATGTAAATTCTAAAAAACATGTCTCCCTCTCTGTTTCATGCACTTCGTCTCTCTCTGCCCTCGGCTCACCCACAGTTGAATCAGAGTCGACCTGATCTCTGTTGCTAAGTAACTTGTGACTCCATGCCAGCTTTTCTTTTTTTGGGGAGGGGGGAATGTTGGCATCATATCGTGGTGATAATACGAGATGTTGTTCTTGTGAACAGCACAGTGCCCTTACTATAACCTGGCTAAGCCCTGTCTTTTGACTCCGAGCCCAGATGTGCACCTGCCTGCAAGGAAACACGGATTATCCCATAATACAGGGCACTTGGGTACGTTTTGAACACACACACACACACACACACACACACACACACACACACACACACACACACACACACACACACACACACACACACACACACACACACACACACACACACACACACACCAGAGGACACCAAGAGATGAGATTTATCTGTGATGTGATTAAGAGGCGCATTTGAAGAAAAGCTGTCCACTCAGAATATCACATTAAAGCCCAGCTAGATTCTCAGAAGCTACATCGATCTACACTGTGAGCTACTGAGGTCCACCATAACCTAATATTGTACAGACAGAGGGGGGAGGGGGGATGGGGAAAGGGGGCCGAGAGAGAGACAGAGGGAGAGAAAGAGAGGGCAATTGGGGAAAAGTCTTCATCAGATAATTTAGCGCATCTTATTTGCAGTGTAAAATTATCGTGGAGGAGAACACAACCATGTACAATTTGTTTGTGTCTGCATGTGGGCCTCTGCAGGCATTGCACATACAGTATAGTATACAGTATACAGTATGTTCACACGGTCTACACATCTTTGTCTACTCTACTAATTTGATTTACCAGTTGGTCATGGAAGATGCTGAGTTTGTCACAGCAGGGCTTTGATAAATTGGAGTTTACATCCCTGTGGGGTGGTTACCATGGGTTTTGGCAAAAAAAGTACTTTTGTTAAGGTTAGGATCAGTTTTTGGTTGAATGTTAATGAACAACTAATGATGTATTGTGCTGAATTTGTTAGAGCAGGGCCTTACATCCCTGTGGGGTGGTTACTGTGGGTTTAGGCAAAAAAACGCATTTTGGTCAAGATTAGGTTTAGTGTTTAAAAAAAACTAATTATGTATTGTGCTGCAATGCACACAGATACATTTATTAATATTCAACCTAGAAGACAATTTGGTCGAGTGCATAAGTGTCAAGCTTTAGTTGCCACAGTCAGATATTGACTCGTTATTCTCTTTAAAAATTAAGTGTTAACCTACACAATATATAAAATATCCATTATCATCTGGAGAACTTCAACTTTTAATCATTGTGTTATAATACTTTAACATTGTTATTTTTCTGGCCCCTTTGCCTAAGAGAAACGTTGGTTCCTACCTGACCTGTTCATGTTTTAGGTCTGGGTTACCAGTTTATGACCGGGCAACACTCGGTCAGAGATAGTTATTGTTGTGGGACACCTGGAACACATCCTTCTCGGGGTGTAGATGGCCCTGAGCCATAAGCGACATACAGTGGTTAGGTGGAAAAGTAGATCTGTACTTATTTAAATGGGGGGTACTAAGTGCTGGGCACTAAGTGCTGGGCACTAAGTATGGCAAAGCACTTGGTGTGAAAGCGGCTATAGTGAAACCTATGGAATTCCGTTTAAGCCAAAATTAAATAAATACATACATAATTAAATACATATATGTATATAAATATGCCTATGAAATAAATAAATAAGGTTATGAAATACATTCTGAAATAAATAAGGCAATCAATATATATATAAATGTACATTTAAATACACATTTATTTATTTCAGGGGACTTGTATTTCATAATGCCACATTTATTTATTTCAGGGGACTTGTATTTCATAATGCCACATTTATTTATTTCAAGGGACTTGTATTTCATAATGCCACATTACATTTCCATTTCTAATATTCAAATGAACGGGGCGTGGTTAGCTCACAGATCCAGACCAAAGCAACAGCACCACAACACTGACTCAATAGCTCTTGTTTCACACTCCAGTACTCTTAAGTGGTTTGCAAACCGCCAATAAACACTTTAGCCGCTTTCACACCAAGTGCTTTGCCATACTTAGTGCCCAGCACTTAGTGCCCAGCACTTAGTACCCCCCATTTAACTAAGTACAGAACTACTTTTCCACCAAACCGGTTCCAGTTCCAGAACCGTTCTTGTGCTTTTCTGGTGCTTAACTGGTTCTTCTCTGTAGCACCACTTGTGTTTCCAGCGCTCAAAGCCCGACTGCTGCAGCATCATGACGTACCGTTTACGTCGCTGATTTTCTCCCAGACGCCGCTCACAACAAAAACAATGGGGGACTGCGTTGGGTCGATGGTCGTGTTGCTTTTAATCATACGATTAAATTAAATTGCTACTTCTCAACCCTTATACTTTTCTCCAGAGTGCCGTGGTTCATTGTTTTTTAATGTGGTTCAGCGG